CCCCCCCCGCGAAAACACCCACCCCTCGGAGGATCACCCCAGATAGGTTTGGAAATAGCATATAATGATATATATATCGGTTAGGATTTGGGGACACACATTTTTGTCACATCTCGACACACTTCTTTATTAACCATTAAATTAAAGTGCTTTTAATGGCTGAGATTGCGTCTATAATACATTATTATTTTCTTTTCTAAACAATTAATACACGTCTTGGAGTTAACGTTTTAAACTTTAAAAAATTTCTTTCTCTCTTCAATATATATCATCTTTGTTCCTCAAGGCCACTCTGCCCGTCCTCCCCCAAACACACTTCATCTTCTTCTCTAAGTAAACTCTCTTCACTCCATAAAATTTCCCTTAAATTTCAATATGGTGATTCATTATGTGGCTCACAAACGATTTTGTGTTGTTAACACTTCAAGTCTTTAAGAAAAAAAAAACAAAGAGAAACTTGGAGTCTTTGTTTATGTACGTAGGGGAAGAAGATTGGAAATCTTAAAAATTCACTATCTCGTCTAGCTCTACATACAAGTTTCTATTTTTTTTTCTTTCCTTTTAGCTACTCTTTTTGTTTAGATTTTGACAAATCTCATTTATCTAAAAAAATTAGTTAATGTACTGGGTTTCTCCTTGTTTTGATTAAAGTTGCATTCAATGGTCTCATAGTCACTCTTCGACTTAATTAAGGGATGATGTGAGAGCCGTTCAGCAGGTATTGGCCTAACAGATAATTGTCCACTGACCACCTAAACTTGGTCATGAATCATGATCATGAACAATATAATCAAATCACAAATATGAGAGTTTAAACATGTCGAGTTTGATTTTAAAATTGTTTCAGATTTTTCGGTGGGTGGGTTCCGAAGACAAAGAGGTGAAAGAGAAGGAAGAGTGAGAGAGAAAGAAGTGATGAGATTATTGTCATTTTCTTCATCTTCAATATCTGGTACTTAATTTATTCATAATTTTAGCTTTCTTTTTCGAATTAGAGGTTTAGAAGAAGGGAGGGTGAGGAGATAGAGTTTATAAAGAAAGAGAACAATGGGGAGTGCAAAAGAGGAAGACTATGTCTTGTTTAATGTGCAATGAGTTAATGCTATTAATAAAATAGTGAAATCATTTTGTTGTCAGATACATTTCAACCGTTGGATGGTAGCATACCTAAAGGTTGAGAAAGTGTGTCAAAATGTGTGATTTTTTGTGTGTCCCCTGATGCCACACTTTTTGACACACTTGTCCATCCAATTAGGGCATTAGATATTGAAGATGAGCAAAATGACAAGGAATCTGAATACATCTTCAAAGCAATTTATATATTAAAGACGAACAAAATGACATAAATTTCAGCATTTCTCCATCACCCTTCTTTCTCCTTCCCCTCTTTGCTGTCGTAACCCAACAGAAAATCCCGAAGCAATTTTAAACCTGAATTGTGCATGTCCAAAGACTCATTGTTTTAATTTGATTGTATGGTTCATGACCACAAAAAGAAATGATTTCATAGTCTTTGCCAGTTATGGATTGAAGACTTGTGGAAAGAAGAGAGAAAAATGAGATAGAGCAGAGAAAGAAAGTGAGAAATAAGGTAGCCCTATAGAGTACTTGTAGAATTCTATGTAAAATTATCTCTTGTAATTATCTGCATTATCTTTCCAGAGTTCTAGTTGTATATGATCTCTTGTATTGCCTCATTATATAATTAATATATCACTACATCATGCATATCTCTAAATCATGGAGGTAGTTTTATATCTTCACTCTTTGTTGCTATTCTTTTATCATATGGGCTCACAAGCCAATAACAATGGTAATCTGGTGGTGGTGGGGAAAGGCTACGGTCGGATAGGGGGAGGACCCTGGTCCGGGAGGGGGAGAAGGGTGTGCAGTTGTTGGGTTTTTTATTTTCATTTCTTCTGGGTTCTAAAGTGTTTTTAAGAGAAATAAAAAAGGGGAGGTGTGGGTGATGGCCGTAGAGAAGGGAACGTTGGGGACAAAGAAACCATAGCGAAGCTGCCATGAGAAGGAAGACAATGAAGAAAATTGTCAAATGACATTAATCTCCCCTATAGTTATATTCTTTCATTCTCGTCCACTTACCCTTTTTCCAATGTGTCAGCTAGTGAGATTTTTGTCAATGCTTAGAGTCATTGATTCTAACAGGACATATCATTTTAAGGAGTTTTGGATTTCAAGAATATGGGCTACAATAACAAAACTTGAGTGAAAGTTTGCTTATTTGTTCATTGTGAGGTTGAGGTAATGTATGTTCCTGTTTAAATGTTCATATACACACATCTCAATACAAGATAACAATGTTCGTGTATCCCATATATTTCGTTTTGAAGACACAACATTGTTTTTTGGTGTGCATCATTTTCTTATATATATATATATATATATATATATATAAGAAAATGATGCACACCAAAAAACAATGTTGTGTCTTCAAAACGAAATATATGGGATACACGAACATTGTTATCTTGTATTGAGATGTGTGTATATGAACATTTAAACAGGAACATACATTACCTCAACCTCACAATGAACAAATAAGCAAACTTTCACTCAAGTTTTGTTATTGTAGCCCATATTCTTGAAATCCAAAACTCCTTAAAATGATATGTCCTGTTAGAATCAATGACTCTAAGCATTGACAAAAATCTCACTAGCTGACACATTGGAAAAAGGGTAAGTGGACGAGAATGAAAGAATATAACTATAGGGGAGATTAATGTCATTTGACAATTATTATTATTATTATTTCTGTCACAAGCCTATCTCTTAGCAACATATTATCTACTTTGGGCCTCGCACGAACAGATTTGTTCTTGGGCCCTCAAGCCCAAAACACGTCTTACTAAGGGAGATGAATTCTGCACATATAAGGCACTTTACTTAACCTCACTTAAACAATGTAGGACTGTGGCACCACTCCGGGTAGTCACAATCCACCCCCTTGGAGGCCTGACGTCCTCGTCGGCACACTTTTAGTTGGGTCAAGAACTAATATCAAATTGTCACAGCCTACTATCTTAGATATTGTCGCTTTGGACCCTACCCGCATAAATTTTTTCTTGGGCCCTCAAGCCAAAAACGCGTCTTACTAAACGAGATCAACTCTACACATAAGGCACTTTACCTAACTTCACCCAATTAATGTGAGATTGTGGCACCACTTTTGATCGTCACAATATCAAATTTTAAAAGGTTGATAAACTTTATTTTATTTGCTTGTATATGTGACATTAATGAATACACACGGTGCAACATAAAAGTCAAATAAAGAGAAAAAAGGGTCCACATTCGCAGCTTAAGCAAGAAGAAGAACTGAAAAAGGTGAAGAGAAGATCGAGGTAGGAGTTACATTTTTTTTTTTGGGTTACTTTGCTATTATTTAGATTTTGTTTTAATTGTTTTAAAAGTTAATAAATTCTATATTGTTTTCTGTTTATGTTTTATTAATGAATCGAAATAACATAGAAGAGAAGTCCAAATAAGAATTAAAAAAGGACTGACATTTAATAGTCAGATTGACGGATGATCTAACGGCTATTGATTTTGAAAAATGATAGATAAAATTTGTAATTTAATAAAATAAATAAATTATAATCAATTAAAAATAAGCCCCACAATCTTTCTTCCTTCCTTTGTGAAAATAGACCTTACATGGAGAGAGCTTAACACAATAAGAATTTTGGACATCATATAACGATAGTTACTTACTTGTGTAGTGTTGCAGGCGCGCGCAAGGATAGAGTCAACATGCATTGAGACATCATAATTATTTAATTTATTGAATTTCTTATTTTTATAAACCCCAAGATATTTAAAAAATAAATAAATGCCTTGAAAGAGCTTTGTTGTGTAGTCTCTGAAAATAAAACACAAGAAAGGTCTCAAAATTACAAATAGGCAAAATAGCATGGAGTGCCACGTGTCCACTGTCTGCTGCATTTAAATTTTTAATTTGATTTTGTGCCTACAAAGCATATATCCCACTTCCACAGCGTTTCACTATTGGACAAAACTCTCGTTAGTTGGGTTCACTCCATACACTCTTGCTCCCCTGCCTGCCTGCCCACGCTTATTTGTGTAGACATCTCTACACACACCAAAAAGAAAATTAAAATATTACAATAAAAATAAATAAAACTCCCACATTAATTATAAGTGCTAATAATACAAGTATTATTACCCTCATTAAAATCCTCCTACTTATTTCAGAAAATCTAACACAATGAATTTAATATGCTTATTATTAGAACTTTTTTAAATACAAATGATAGTTTAAACTATAAGAATGATGACGTTTCTCACACACACAATACCAAAGTGTGGTGGAAGTTCGACTTTGAGACCAATGTCTACGTGTCAAGGCCCTTTTTTACTAGACTAAACTCAGTTAGTTATTAAATTTTGATTTTAAAAGACTAAAAAATTACTATCATTATGAAGAAATTAATAAACAATTTGAATTATTAATTGGTTGCATACAAGTGGACCAAACAAATTGGGAAGTCCATAATGAACCCATGAGGGCGCAGGCAGAGGACTGTCTACCAAGGGAGAAAAAAAGAATTAAATTTTGGGTACAATAAATAATATAAAAAAAAATGAATTTTGGGAATTTTTGGTTTTTGCAGAAAGCCAGAAACCTCTCTCTCTCTCTCTCAACTGCGCTTTTTGAGTTTTGTTTGTCTCTCTGCAAATTGGATGCATTGAACAAATAGATACAGTGGGTAGGTGTATTTGTACAAGTGTGCTTCTGCTGATGATTTCAACCTCCACACTCAAAACACACAACAATCTCTCAACCCCAAATTCTTCCTTCGATTCAGATCGGACTGTTAAAAGTGAGTGCTTTCTTTCTCTCTGATTCTCTTGCTTTTCCATTTCTCTTAGATACGGACCTCTCACTCATTCTTCTTCTTCTCTGTTTTTTCTATTTTTAATTTGTTGCAAGTTTTTTTTTTCTCTGAGGAAAACATTCTTGCATTTGGAAGTTGGGTCAGTGATGTTTTTTCTAATTATTAAAAATAGATATTTTGTGAAAAGACTGATTTTTTTGTTGCATGCAAATCTAAGCTTTTGGATTTGGGTTTTTTTCTTTATTTTTGCGGTGAGGTAATGTTGTTACTTTTTGGTCCTGTCCTGTTTGAGGAAATAATGTAATTTTATTTTTCATGCTTCATTGTGTTGCTCTTTGATTTTCTCTTTGATTTTCTGGGAAAATGGGATTTTGGGTTTTTGTTCTTCAGAGTTTGATTGTGGGTTTAGGGTCTGAAAGCATTGGCTCAAATAGAGGCTGTAGAAGTCCTTTAATCACTTGCATGCAAGAGACTAAACTTCCTTGACCCTTGTTCACATCCTTTCTGGCTATTCCTTTTGTTTTATTTTCTATTGTATATATGTATATTTGGTTAGATTTAGGCTTCAATAGCTTATAGCATCTGATTTATTAGTCTTGTTATTGTTTAAATATTTTTTTTTTCTCTGGATATATGGGTTCATTATTGTCGAGTTGAATTTGCAAGTTGGTAATCTGTTGATTTTTGTTTTTGATGTATATTTGGTTAGATTTAGGCTTCAATAGCTTATAGCATCTGATTTATTAGTCTTGTTATTGTTTAAATATTTTTTTTTCTCTGGATATATGGGTTCATTATTGTCGAGTTGAATTTGCAAGTTGGTAATCTGTTGATTTTTGTTTTTTTTTTCAAAGAAATTGGACTATTCTTATACATTCAAGCGATTTTAAGCTGTAATTTTATGGGTATTATTTTTGCCCTTTTTTAATTATAAATTGGTATCCTTCTTTTTAATTGCAGCTTATGTATCTACCCTTTGCATGCCTACATGTTCTGTTGTCTGGAATTGATGAATCATTCTAACCCCCATTCAAATCTATATGTGCATGCTTCAGTGTTGGTTTGCAAGTCAAGTTGATATCTACTAACCATCATTCTCATTCTTCTTTTAGTTACTTTTGGTATTCGTAGTATGCATGGTCTTGTTCAATACTGGAGAATTCTATGTTTGAAATTTCAATGTTTTCTTGTTAGGTTTCTGATTTTTGGGTCTGAGTTTGAAGATTGCCTGGAGTGGTTATAAGGCTGAACTATGGTATGGGTTGATATATTTGGTAATAGGCCTTCTGTAATCACAATTTCTTATTGAGATTTGGTGAATGGGGATACAGACAATGGGTTCTCAAGGTGGGGCTGATGGTAATTGCAAACAGTCGCAGTTCCAGCCTTTGGCACGACAAAACTCAATTTACAGTCTCACGCTCGATGAGGTACAAAATCAGTTAGGTGACTTGGGGAAGCCACTCAGCAGCATGAACCTTGACGAGCTTCTAAAAAATGTATGGAGTGCTGAGGCCAACCAGACCATGGGTATGGACATTGAAGGCACTACACTGGTCAATCAAGCTACACTGCAGCGTCAGGCAAGCCTGTCATTAACTAGTGCATTGAGCAAGAAGACAGTTGATGAGGTTTGGAGAGATATTCAACAAAGCAAAAATAATGAGGAAAAGAAATCTCAAGAACGACAACGTACTTTGGGAGAGATGACCTTAGAGGATTTCTTGGTAAAAGCGGGAGTTGTTGCTGAAGCTGAAGCATCTTCAGACAAAAAGTGTTCTGCTCCTCTAGCCGTGGTTGATGCGAATGTGGCATCTCAGTTTCCACAAGGTCAGTGGCTGCAGTACCAACAACCACAATATCAGCATCCACAACAAAGTATGATGGGGGTATACATGCCAAGCCAACCTATACCACCACCACTGCACATAGGGGCTGGTGCTATAATGGAAGTGCCGTATCCTGACAACCAAGTTGCGTTGCCTTCACCCTTAATGGGTACATTGTCAGATACACAGACACCTGGGAGGAAAAGGGGCAACCCAGAGGACATAGTTGAGAAGACCGTTGAACGGAGACAGAAAAGAATGATAAAGAACCGAGAATCTGCTGCTCGTTCACGAGCACGAAAGCAGGTCAATTTTCATTTCTTTCGGTTGGTTTATAAATCCACCGCAAGGTTTTCTTTTGCAAAATAGCTGAAAATAGAAAACTGTAACAGGCTTATACAAATGAACTGGAGAACAAAGTTTCACGTCTAGAGGAGGAAAATGAAAGGCTAAGGAAACAGAAGGTTAGGGTTTCTTTTAATATGATGTCTTTTTGTATTTGTTTCATTTGATTTCCCCAGTACACCTTGCATTGTTGAATGATATTTGTAGTTGGGTTTGATACAACTGCAATGAGTAAAACTCTTTTTTTCCCCATCATTAGAAAAGAGATAATTGTAGTTGGCTTTATTTTCTTTCATTTGGTATTAGGCAGTTATTTGTACTGCAGTAGATTTATTTTGTTTTCAGATACAAGCCTGTTGCAGGTAACTGAGACATGCACACACAGGCATCACTCACATAATTTTGTGACAATTAGAACTGTGGTTCAGATGGAGGATTATTATATTTCTTGAATTTGGATACTGCTGGGATCTGATTGATCTGATACGTCATTGGTTCTGGAAAAATATAGATGTAGTAGAGATTCTTGTATAAATGCTTTAGTCGGTAACTTGGTAGATTGAGTTTGCTAAAATCACGGATTGGGTCTTGGATGGTGGAAAAGCATGATCTGTTTTTCGTAGTAGAAAATTCTATAGAAGGAATAAAGGATGCTAAGGGGCGTTATCCGAACACTCAAGCAGTATACAACAAATTTAAAAAATTAAAACAAAAACATAACTCATGAAAGAAAAGGAAACAGGGAGAGCATTAATTGTTCATTCACAAATACAATCTTATAAGCTGCATTCTTGCCCCCCTTAAGGAGTGTTTTGTACCTTGAATAGCTGTACTATTCCTTTCCCGTCATAAACATTACAAGATGCATGGAGGGGTCATTCAGCAAATTACTTATTAACATTTTGTTTTGTTTTGGTTTTTTGTTTTCTGGGTGAAGTTGCCATGCCATCCTGCAAGTAATCTCCAAACTTGTCTGCTGCTTGATGTCATTGCCAGTAACACAACTTATCACCTGTGGTACATATTGCTAAGCATATGGGCTTGTAATAGTGCCAGTGAGTCAACTCAATTCACACACAACGGTCATTCCCTAAGTTTGAGGTTGGAAGTTAGAAAATGGTCTACCAGGATATTATGTTATCAGTAGCTCTAGATTTATTAGTGCGTAACACCATACTAACAAAACAAAAACAGCTCAATAAATGAAAGTAAAATTGTATGTATGCCATAAGAAAGTGATCGTAAAGCTTATGTTGAGATAGTGGACAAAAATGTTTCACCGATTTGCTTGCATTACAATATATAAGGTCTGCATTGATGCTTTAAGGAATCTGACTTTAGTTGGGTCTACACAAAGAATGATAATGTGGTGTTGTAAAAGATGTTGGACATATGTTTCACCGATTTGCTTGCATTACAATATATAAGGTCTGCATTGATGCTTTAAGGAATCTGACTTTAGTTGGGTCTACACATAGAATGATAATGTGGTGTTGTAAAAGATGTTGGACATATGTGAATTGTGCTTTTTCCCTTCTTTTTGGGGGCGAGTTTTGTGTTTGTTTAGAACCTAATGCACCGTTTCCTGGTTCCCAGAAAAGAGTAGAATCCCAATTCTGTTCTGGGACCTACCAGATTGTGATTATGATCCTTTCTATTCAATAGGCCAACACTGTCTCGTGATCTCAGGAATGAAACTTCATATCAAGGTGATATTTGACCATGGGTTTTGATAATGCCCTTGACATATGTTCAAAGTTAAAGGAATCTTTCCTTGTTAGATGCTAAGGCTAAGCAAATCTGATTCTACTACCAGTCCCTCCACTGGTTGGGGTGCTATGAAATAAGTCTTTCACACTGAAGCATGACTTTACATAACCCACCATATGGAATACCGCACAGTATTCCTTAGTAGAGCAACCATATGCAGTTACCATGTGTGCACAGATTGGGTTTAGAGTTGTGTCGGAAATTTTTATGTATGTTTAAGGAGGAACTGTGAGGGTCCTAGGCTGAGAGTTGTTTTAAAAGTTCTTTTGGTACTCTTACTAGAACATCTCAATGTACCTGTTCAGGTTTGATTTTGAGATAGCATGTACTCATTAATTTACATTTACATGTATAAAATCACTAAATAAGACAATAAATGGACTCCGAGGTATAAATTCTAAATATTAATGGAATTTGATGATATTCGACTTGAGGACAAAAAAAAAACATATGTAATAGTGCATGTAACAAAACATACAACAATTATTATAGTACTTAGTTAGAATATAAAAGAAACGGGATTTGGTTTGTTTGTATTATGAACTTTAAAAGAATTAATTCCTTAAAAGAAATAAAGTAAATAGCAGAAAACTCATATCAGCCAACCTAAGCCGGTACTAGTTGGTATTTGCCTGTCCTACAGACTAGCACATGTGATAAAATGAAAAACAGTTTGGTATGCCAAATGGATTTGACAAGGATGGTGCCCACTCCTGTTTCCTTTTAAACCAGCATGTACAGGTCGGGATAGCTGATACATTACATTATTGGCAATGATCGGTTGGGCGTTTAAGCTTTTCTATTATATAACCTCAAAGGGGCTGGGCCTTATTCCTTTTGAGACTCTTTTACATGTGTCTATAAGGTAGCTAACTTATTCAAATTTTCCAATAAAAAATAAGAGTTTGATTTAAATGTAACCACCCAGTAAAAGCTAATCTACTAATTAATTTTATATTTTAAAAATATAGGAGCCATCACACATGGACGTACTGCATGTTGTGAGGCTAGTAACAAGGATAACCAATACAATTTTGTATGGCAATTGCCTGTAGATGATGTGTTTTTCAGAGTAAAGAGGATGTTTCTCAAGCAGTGTTAATTCTAAAAGGAAATACCATTTCTTAAGGCAGTTATTTTATGAATGAAGAGGATTTTCCTGGTGGATTCTCATGAGCAGTTTTGTAAGGATTTTCACTCAAGGATAGTTATGAACAGTTTTATAAGGAGCTTTATTAGTAGAGACCTAAAGTTTTTAGTTTGTCAGGGATTAGTATTAAGGAGACTAGTGTCTTTGAATGCCGTAGATGAGGTTTGAGCTGTGCTTAGATACATTATCAGGCTTTAGCTCCGGATAATTTCCCTGTGGCTATTTAAATTGGAGTTGTGTCACAGATGATGTCAGGAACTTCTATTGGTACCCTACAGTTTGTAACTAGACCCACCTACTTTTTTGTAAACTCCAAAACCCAAGTTTATACTTTGAACACTTTTTTAATTAAAAAAAAAAAAGAACTGAAAAAAATGAAGTTACTTTGGGCCTTGCCTGCTACTCCTGCTGGCTCTAGTGCCAGTGTGCCTCCCGGGTGACAGGTCCCCTCTCCCCCTGACTCCTCTCCCTCTCTTCCCCTGCAACCCTAATGCTTTTGTTGCGGGGGACAGGAGTTGGGGTTGAGGGGACTCACAGCCAGGCTGGCTTACTGGCAGGGAATACTCTTCTTTTAATTTTTCTTTCTGTTTCTTATTTTCTTTTTTAAAATTTTATTCAAAGGGTAAAATGGGAAGTTTTGGGAAAAAATTAGGTGTGTGGGTAAACTGTAGTGTACCTATAGAATTTCCCATCATGTTATGACTATGTTATTGCCAATGTTATGTTTATATTCTACATGCTTTGAAGACTTCTGATTTGGATTAGTAATTTAGAGTTTTAGCCTTCCAAGTTTAGTTGGTAGGGTGTATAATGTTCATACTATTAGTGCCACCTGAAAGATTAGAATAGTTTCTTGCCCCCCGAATTCTTTTGTTGTTGACAATAAGATATTCCTTTCAGTTATAATTGCTAACGAATGTTTGGGTTTTTGGACAAGATTGACAGTGTCATGATTATCAGGAAAGTGGTGATAGATTGTGTAGTGCCGTGTGGAACTTGTGAATATCGTTTTGAATGATGCTAGACTGAAAATGAATTCATATTTGGTGTTGTTTTCAAGTTTCCTTTAGGTTTGGGGAATGGGTGTTAGTATTTGGCATCGCTATATGTCTAGTGATATCCCTTTGAGGAGCACCTGTTTCTCTTTAAGTTTGGCTACTAACAAGATTGCATTTCTAAGTTCTTATGGGTTCTAACTTTTAACAGGATTGCATCATAGTTTCTGAAAGGTTTAGGGTTTCAAAGTTCTTCTTGAAGTGGCATATCAATGGTTGATCGGGCACCAGTTTATAATTTCTCAATATGTCTGAATACCCATATATTCAGGGGTCGTGGTGTACCTGTTGTCAGAACTGCAGCTCATTCTGACGTGTTAGTTTCTTCTCAGAAAAAAATTATTATAATAAATTGTTGCTTAGCTGTCCCGGTTTATAATTTTCATTGGTAGTTTGGACTCCATTATCTTCTGCTTTTGTTCTGCAGGATCCACTTCCTCCTTTAGTGAGTTACCTTCACCTTTTATTGATGTTTCATTTTATTTTTCAAAGCCGGTGACTGTGTAGAAGACTTCTTACCTAGTTTGTTTGACTTTGCATGATATTGAGATAACAGCATGATTAAATAATCATTTTCTGTCTTGTGTGATTTGGGTCTAAAAGCTATTTGGATTAGCAACTAAAGATATCTTATTTATATCGTATGTGTTGCCGTTGCAGGAGCTAGAGAAGGTGTTGCCAAGTGCACCACCTCCCGAGCCAAAGTATCAGCTTCGTAGAACGACGTCAGCTCCATTCTAAAATTTGTATCTATATGCATCAGCTGCTTGTGCTTTGCTTATATCCCTGTGATGAGGTTTTCCTTTTATTCACTTCTTTGTGACATCAGTCGCATTAGGAATTTTCATGGGACCATTGTGTAATCTCACTATTGTCTGTAAGACTTGTCCAGAAAATTTTAGCGTTGCGTTTTTTCAACATTTGTTCAGTTTATGCTCTTTCTGCATGCTGCAAATCATGCCACCATTTAGATCTAGTTCATGCTCGCTTCTTAAAACAATATAACTCAACTAAAATCTAAATAGCAGATGAACCTTTCAGGCGAGAAATTTTTATTTTTATTTTTTGTCTCCTGCTGTACGAGTGATGAAAGTGATACATTACCGTTTGGAGCCTAGGATTGGATTTTATTGGATAACTCAATAGATTTAAGGTTTCATCACCGTTTGGAGCCTAGGATTGAATTTTATTGGATAACTCAATAGATTTAAGGCATGTTGACGGAAGAAATGAAGAAACTTTGTTAAAGGTAGAACATGAATTACTCATGAAAAAAGCATATCTCATTCAATCTAGAACATGGTAGGATATATCAACAACTTATATTTTATCCTTTCTCATCCTCAAACTCATGAAAAAAGCATATCTCATTCAATCTAGAACATGGTAGGATATATCAACAACTTATATTTTATCCTTTCTCATCCTCAAAATTAAAAATCCTCTACCTTCATTTCCTCCTCTAATATATCTTGAATCAAGTGAGTTATCTAATCTAATCCAATCCTAGGCACTGAACAAGCCTAATAGTTTAATAACAAACCAGACAATGTGATGATATTTTAATTCTACTTCTTAAGTGACATGGATGTTACAAGGCAGAAACAACTTACATCTACTCTGTGCAGGGCTCATCACTTGTGATTTTGCACTCCATATTAAAAGGGGAAATCCGGATTCTTAGGTTTTTAAAAATCCTCTTGGCCTAGTATGAAATAAAAAAGCTCAAACTCATGAACAAAGTCATAAGGATGCAATCTGGTATCAACTTTTTGGTTCTGCACGAGGAAGTTCAGAACGGGACCTGGTTTTATGACCACTTTAGTGGATACATCTGCATTTTCAAGCAAGGATAGTGATTAGCTTGGCAGTAGAATGACAAAAGTAAACCACGTCTTCTGTCTCTTAGAAACTTAACCGTGTTCAGAGGCAGACACCCTTGGATGGCTCGGAAACTTGAATGGAAACCCTGGTAGCTTGACATAACTTCTCCCAACTCCATGAAGTTCATTGGATTCTATAGAAAAGAGACTGCCAGATTGTATGGAAGAAGGAGTACCGGACAAAGATAATACATTGTTGGCCCTTTGCTTGACAACTTAAGCTTTTGGGGTTAGTGGTTGTCTAACATGGTATCAGAGCCTTTCTTTTCAAGTGGTCCTCAGTTCGACTCATGATGTATAAGTCCCGCATCGGAGATATACAATATAGTTCAAATATAGGTGGTCCACTATTAAGTTCCACGTTGGAGACATTTTAAGTTAAAACCTCACACCTAGAGATCCATTGAGCTTAACCTCACCCAAAAAGATAATACATTGTTGGCCCTTTCTTTGACAACTTAAGCTTTTGGGGTTAGCGGTTGTCTAACATGGTATCAGAGCCTTTCTTTTCAAGTGGTCCTCAGTTCGACTCATGATGTATAAGTCCCACATCGGAGATATACAATATAGTTCAAATATAGTGAAACATCACACCTAGAGATCCATTGAGCTTAACCTCACCCAAAGTATTATCTTTTTGTTTTTTCACAAACGGAGACTCATGTCCAAACTCTTCTGGTTCTTCCTATCACCACAAAAACACAAACAGAGAAACTCAAAGATCTCATGACCACGACGAAATGAAATTGATTTAATTCCTTCTTCTAAAGTCAAAATCAAAATGGCATTTTAATTTTGCTTTAGCTTTAGATTTAATACTTCTCTTTTCTAAGAATGAGATAACTTTGAACGGAAATTGAACCCAAATCGGGAGAAGGACCATAATTCCAACGGTACTTGTCCCCTGTTGGTTGTTATGTTCTTTTGGATAGTTGAGATATTGGTGAAGTGTAAAACTATTGAAAAAGAAAATAAGCATCCACAATAGTAGATGGAGGAAATTGAAAAATAGAGGCAGCAGTATCAGTATGTGGGTATTTTTTGTTCAGGAAGCAATGATTATTTTTGCCTTTGTCACAAAGACAATCTACTCAAATCAAAATTGTATTTGTATTTTTGTTTTCATATCTGAATTCTGTTTTGACAACATTTTGCATACTATCATATAAGGATTAATTCTTAAAAACAGAAATCATCAATACATGATTTCTGAAATGTTTCAGCTTTAGATAATTTCAACTACAAAAGATATACACGCTAGTGAAATTCCTATTCAAATCCGTTAACTCAAAACAGTTGGTTCACAAAAACTTCATAGCTATTATGAAGCCATCCACCATGGGATATGAAATTGAAACCAAATCTTCAGCAGAAGAACATGGAGTTGATCACATTAGCATGAAGCCGGGGTAACTCGGGCACGGCCACACCACCAGCAACAGTCACACCACCACCATGGCTTGAGGAAGTCTCAGACATATCATCAAACTTGATGAACTGTGAAATCTGAGCGGCAGCTAGATGGGCGTAGCAGATTGGAGCAACTGCAGCAAAGAGAAAACGGCAAAGGTAAACACTTAAAAAACAGAGCAAAAAAATAAAAATAAAGACTAAAGATGTGACTTAAAAAATCAACTTTTACTCTTTAAATGTCAAGCCATTTATAACTCTACAATTGTTCAGACAGCGATTTCAAATAGGGTATGATTTTCTATACAGAAAATAGGCTGTCAAGTGACAAATCATATTACTAGTGCAGCTACAAAAAATTCAAGCAGGCTCATGGCATCAGTATAAGTGTAGAAAGTAGCAAGAATGAAATCATAATTTATTGGCTTCCTAAGACAGAAAATAGGCTGTCAAGTGACAAATCATATTACTAGTGGAGGGAGGAGTAACAAAAGTGAAAACAAAAACTAAAAACTGAAATCTATTTGAAATTGTTTTCAATGTCAAGTTTTTGTTTTCACTTTTCCTACTCCTCCCTCCCCAAAATAAAAAACTCATCCTCTCTCAATCTCATCCTCACTCTCATTTTCCTCTATACTCTTGCATAAAAAATAAAAACTAAAAACTAAAAATGAAATGGTTATCAAACGGGCCCTAAATTTTTCTAAGCAGTCTATAAGTTGAAGTCAATTACATAACGGACTACAAATCAGGATTATGTATATTACCTACAGAGATGGCTGTAGTGCTCCTTTGGTACCTGTACAGAATTCAAAGCAATGTTGTCAGGTTTGAATTTCACTCCAATAACCTATTTTTCACCAGGTATTTGTATCTTGGGACGTAGTTGGCTATTCCTCTCTTTTTCCTTTCTAAATCTGAAAGACGAGTATACTACTTACACATATGATAGAGAATGAACAAGTTCTTGCAAATCATCTGCTGAAAACCCGAGTTCATCGTATAGAACATGATAATGAGTAGGTCGAGTAGTCCCCTACATAAACAATCCAAAGTCGGTTGAATTTCACAGTCTAAAACAATAGACGCAACCATTTTGCTTATTCATTTCCTTTATAAGCAATAACATCTCAAAAACATGGAGAAACTTATCAACAAAAAAGCAATAGGCTTTGGTTTAGAATACTCACAATCATCCCAGCATGAGAACACAAGTAGAAATCATTGTTCTTGGGATGGCAAACTTTGTTGTCAATAATTGTGCCTGAGTTTAAGTAATCAAAAGATAAACATGATTTAGAAACAGAAGCACAGTTTTATGTTCTTTTCTACTCTGAAAATTTAACTGATGGTAAAATGACTAACCAGCTGGCACATTTTCAGTAGAACTAGTCTGGAAAAATTTTGTATGATGATTCTTCTGAGCAACAATAACCGTGAACTTTGGAGACCAGCTCTCATCAAGGAATTTGCAGGCCTGCAAAACATAAGAAACCCCACAAAGTACAGTTAGAGATTTACTCTTACAATAAAGCATATAGAAAGTAAAATGTAGATTGGCCACCTGAATAATCTGATCCAGTTCCACATTCAAGACTTGGTTGAACTGTGATTCACTCACTCCATCCCTAAATAAGAGAAAAAACAAGAGATAGGAAAATCAACAAGGGTTACGCATGAACCCACAACCTTTGCAAAACTATGATAAATGATACAATACAACATTGTTAATCACTGAAACCAGTTGTTTTTAATGTATAAATTCTTCTATTTGTTGAAAAAATATATCACATTGACTAGCCTGTTTCAAACTACATAGCAAAAAATCAGTAAGATGTTGACAAAATGGTATAGAAAAGAATACACAGCCATATATCAATACTGTTGGCTGTGATACACTAGCCTCTCAAAGATATGAGATTAATAACAAACTGCAGATCGTTAAGATATTTTAGCTTACACTCATCAATGAAAAACTCAAGGTCACTTCCTTTTTTTTTTCTTTTTACTGAATGTTGTGGGACAACGACATAATAGGAAACAGAAAGATAGTACTGGGAGCTAATTACATCGACAGAAGGGCCAATATATAGATTGTATTCTAAAGCTTTTAAGTACCCGTATTATTAATGCACTTGTATATATGCGGCCCATTGATCTAATAAAAAAGGGCCAATGTATGACATTCTAATAATTTGCGTAATTTACACATCAAACATTCAAAGAGTTCAAAATGAATTTTATAACTCTAACGCAAGTACCGTATTGAATATATTAGTAATACCACACCTGAAAATAATTATCTGATCAGGCTTCCTGCTATTTGAAGTAGCATAAAAGTCTAGCAACAATTCCCTGCAAAGAGCACATACGTTAAATGTCGCAGAATTGTTAATAATTACATAACAGAAAAAGGGATGCAATATATAAGAGTTTCAGAGTATATGTAAGTGGCGAGAGGAGTCAACCTGATTATGCCCGCATCTTCTTTATCTGATACAGGCTTGAACAGAGAAGCAATCATTTCTACTTTTGGCGATTGAGTACGAACAGCAGCTCGGTACCGAGAAATCAAGGGCCAGTTCCTGGAACTCACCACCTACAAAACATAGAACATGATATAGCAGCAACTCCCACGGTGACCGAGTATGGAGTAAAATTTATGGAAAATAACATGTTTACGAAATGTTCAGTTTAAGGGACTAGTGTTACCGCTGCAATAGAAGGTACATCTGAACGCCCAGGTGAGCCGTGTGACACATCCATTCCCAAAATCAGAGTGGGGCACTTAGAAACCAAAGGTATAGAAGGAGAATGCTCCACTTGTAGCAAGGAATTCATTCCACCCAGCTACACAAGTGCAGACAAAACAAGGGAAGACCAAAATCAATGCATGAAACGTTAAACACAAATAGTAGACAACACAAGACAATTTCCACAAATGATATTATTGTAACTGAAACATACCTTTGCATTGATTTTCAGGAGCACATTTGTGATGTACTGATCATTAAGTTTTGCAGGAGCAATGCACTGTGTTACAATCCCAAGCTCAGAAAGATTTCTCCTTTTCCATGGACCTGGAGAGTTTGGAGATTTGTCAACACATACATCCTCAACATAAAGTGTGGATAAAAATAATAGAGGAAAAGAATCATGAGCTGACCATATATGTCAGAATTCTTCCTCTCTGGAAGAATACACAACAGAAGCTCTGGTGGTCCTGGAAGTTTGGACTTTATGTATTCAATCATCTTGTCCACTCTAACAGGAGCTGGGTCACGTCTATTCTGGTTGTTCTCTTCAAATACAAAAAATGGATCATTTATGACCTACAATAAAGAATTTTCTTTTAGAATAACAAATAATCAAATGCATAGATGTACATAATAGAAGTAGCTTTTTTTCTCTATAATTCAGAGAGAGAGTAATCTCACAATTCCTTTCATCTCTCCACACTTCAACATATTATTGACCAGGTACCGAGTGTCACAGCGAGCAGAGAAATTGACAATAGCCCAGCGCTCTATTTTCACAGGTTGTATCAATTTCTACACATAGGTAATTGAGTTAAATTCAACATAAAAAATTCAAAGCTTGATGCCAGTGAAACAGAAAATACTTAAGAAGAACAGCACCTTGTTGTTAAAATTCCAACGCCCGTTCCGAGGGAAAAAATCTTGTCCCTCGCCAACTTTTAGCTGCAGAAAAGGATCAATATACAGAGAAAATGAGAACACACGAATTTCTACAGAACCAAAGAAACTAACCAGATCAATTGAGAAGCAACCAAAAAGGACTATGACGATGTTTTACCTTTGGGGCTGACAAAACACGGCCTTCAACCTGCACGAAGTCAGCACCGATTGATATTCCAGATGAACGAAGCATCAGGTCAGCATCATATTTACTAGTCTTCAGTGCCTGAGAGAATCAAAAATTTGAGGTGTCAGTAAGTTTAAGAGGCAAAGATAAAACTACATCAAATAAACGGCATAACTTACATCACGCAGAACTGACATCCGCTCTTGGGGCTTTTGCCGAGACTTCTCCACTAGCGAAGCCCTTTGCATACTGGATAAAGCTTTGGTATAGCGTTGCAATGAAATCAAGTTGCAGAGCTACAGGAGCAAAGAAGAATGAAAAAGAAAATTCTAATATTAACCTAAACAATAAATTATTGACGTAATTGTATCACCTCAAGTGGAAAGTAAGATGGACTCTTTGGTTTCCCAACATTGATGCATGGAAAATCTGCTGAATCGCGCACTGGTAAGTGTTTATATTGAGCAAAATAATTAGAAACCGTGATTTCCTCTCCATCACCATCCTGTCCTTTCTTTGTTTTCAGAAAGAACCTAGACACAAATGTAGAGTGGTAAGATCATTGCAAAGAAGCACTAATAGATTATATCAGAAAGCAGAAAATGAGATGACAGTTTAAGTCTACTTCTTAGATTGCATAGATATTATAAGGCCGAAATAAATTACCTCTGCTCCTTGCATGGTTTGTCACTCAATCCAGTGATTTTGTACTCCATCTTAGAGGAATAGGTCGTTATTCTTAGATTCTTTAGCATCCTTTTAGCCTAGTATAAAATGAAAAAGCTCAGATCATGTGCGAAGCACAACCAATGTAATGTCAAAATTGAAGGAAACCACAATTACCTTAATCCAATCAATCTGGTATGGAGTCTTAACATTTTGGTTCTCCATGAGGAAGTTGAGAACAGGACCAGGTTTCACGATCATTGTAGTAGATACATCTGCATTAAGACAAGGACAGTGATTAACTTGGCAGTAGAATCCCGAAATAAACAAGCCTTCTATTTCTTAGCAACTTACCCATGTTCAGAGACAGACCCCCTTGGGTAGCTCGAAAGCTTGAATGGAAACCCCTGCAGCCTAATACACCTGCTCCCAACTCTGCGAAGTTCCTCGGATTGTTATGGAAGAAAGACTGTCGGACAAGGAGACAACCCCTGCAGACAAAAAGTGTATGATGCGCCAAATAAGAGTGGACTGCCTGAGGAAAGATACAACAGTCAAATACTTACTGCTTTGCTGCATTCTGCCTTAGTATGATATCAAGAACCCTCACTGCTTCTTTTTTTTTTTAAATGAGAGAAACTCAAAAGCAAATCCCATTCTTCAGAAACCAAAATCTAACACACAAGCACAGGCTCACAAAATCAAAAGAAGCTAAAACGACCCACTACTAAAACAAGCCTCGTAGCTTTAAAACAATGGCGCTTTCACGTAGTAAACGGACGAACAAAATCAAACAAAGCATCAGGGCTCTAAAACTAGCTTTTTTCACGTATGGTTAGCAGAATATACTGATCAGAGGCCAAACCCAGCAGCCAAAACAAAAAATGGCAAGAAAGAAGAGGAGAGAGAGAGATAGACCTGTGAGGGTTTGAGAGCACACAGCAGCACCACACCAAGAGAGAAAAACTCAAAAACCCAAAACGCAAAGGCAAAATCCCAGAGCGCCTTAGGGTTTTTCGCTCTTTTTTTGGTGGTGGGTTTTGGGTTTTTGATTAGGAAATATTGTACGGTATTTATATACAAATGGAATCCCAACGGTGTAGGCAAACGAGCGAGAGAGAGAGAGGGTATCAGCAAAAGGCTGCTGCTTGCTTGCTTGCCTGCCTTTCCTGCTGCGTTTTTCTTGTGACGCGGTAGCTGTACGGACGCGAAAGGCCAGTAATAAAATGACGCGTGTCTGCTGCGCCCTCGGATGCCCAGCTCCTAAATTCTAGTTTCCGGTCTTGACCCTGCCCTTTCAATTTTATTCCAAGTTTTGTCTCCTTAACGACGTTATGACGCGGTTAAGCAGCTCTCCGGTTTTGTCCTCATCCTCATTTCTTGAGAAAGGAGCAACAATTTTCCTTCTAGAAATAAAATGTAAATGGATATAATATTTAAAATTCCAAACTTTTATTACGATATTTTTATTTTTTTTAAGAATCAAATCATTCTGTTTGTCTTAACAAAGTTTAATTAATTTTCTTGTTAAAAGTTTAATTAGTTTTTTGGTTGCATGTTTGTGAGGGATTGAACTTATGAAACTTTCCTTTAATGAAGAGCAATAATGGATGTGGGCTTGTTTTAAATGTTGAGTCCAAGCAGGAGATCCGGATCCATTCTAATTTTATTGTTCTTAGAGTTCGATTTTTCCACTAAATCTTTGATAAATCAAACAATTAAAGACATGGAATGGAAGAAATCCATGACAATAAGGAAAACGTGAAGAAAAAAAAAATCTAAATTTGAATCTTTTATTTTAAATTTATGTGTACAAGTACAATAACATAGTGCTTTTAGTGTAAGTGGCACTATAACACCATCCCAATCGAGAAATGGTCGACCACAGTATCAACTATCCATAACAGCCCACTACACTAAATTGAAAGGGCTCTGGGATGAACTTTGCGGTGGTGCCGTGAAGGAGATCATGGAGCTTGAGGAGCAAGAAAAGATGATACAATTTCTAATGGAAGTCGTTGATATATTCATGATAGAAATTCAGTTCATGTCATGAATGTGAGTCGCGAGACCGTGACGATAAAACGAACATGTCACATGATCACTATATTGTTTCATCATATTTTCTCCCATCTTTTGTATTTTCCAAGATATTGCAACGAAGAAGATGATTGGATCAGGGAAGGAGCGTGATGGCTTGTACTACCTTGTTCCCAGCACAATGACATATGAAATTCAAGTAAGAAACACATGGTCTATTGTAAGCACCCAATTTTAGTGCATTGTCAAACAAATTAAAGCCCTCAATGGAGCTAAATTGACCTCTATGCATGTGGATGGTTTGCTAAACTTGGAATGATTTTTCAACATTCTTGCCCTAATACCTCCCAACAAAATGGAGTCGTAATGGGAAAGCATCGTGGTGGCTTACTCAATGTTGGACGTGCTCTAGAATAATGCTACTCTTACCATATTTGTATACCACATTCTCATACCACCTTATGTCACAGATGAGGTGGATATCCATATCAATTAAAAAATATTTTAACCTTGAGAATCATTCATTATTTTAATATAAAAAATGTTCTTAGTTAATGAAAAGAAAAAACAAAATGAGATCATGACTAATTTTCATGAGACACAAGCATAAATATTTTATCTTTCTAAATACTAAAATAAAAAATAAAATAAAAACTAAATGGCACACACGTGGCAAGGAGTTGGTTTAGATTAAAGGCCAATGAAATTAGGGAGGGAGAGAGACCCAGTAAGACTGTGAAAGGGAAAATACTACCACAATTGTGAAAGGCCCCAAAACCAAAACACCTGCTGCGTCACGTGCCTCTGGTGTTACTTGCGTAATAAGGTAAGAGTATCTGAATAGGCGTGATGCTACAAATGTCATGTCCAGTAGTCTACTGCCGCGTGTCTCTCCTGCCCGTTTGCTTCCCCAACAACTTTATTCTAGCTTCCCATTTTTGACCCTACTTTTTGATCCTATTGGCTGGCTCTGCCACTGCACCAACGTTAATTGTTCAGCTGCGTTTCCATTATTAAATTTTTTTAATTTGCCTTATTTTCGAAGGATCTGGATCTTTGAATTTCTCTGTTAGTATCCATTTACTTTTGTTCTAAATATACCAACTCAAGGAGTAGCAATGTTGATTTGATAGGTCACATAGGATAAAAGCCCCTCCAATGGAAGTAGCAACCCATGTAGCAAATTTAAAAATTATAATCATAACATGTAAGTTACTTCATAGTAAATTGTTACAAAAAAAAAATTATGGTTTTCCTCTTTCCGTAAAAGCGAAAAGCAAAATCCTTATTTATAAACCAAATTGAAATTTTTTTAAGGTGAAGCAAAACTAAAGAAGCAAATAATAGATGACATGAACATATTTAGTTTTTAACATGTAGTTTTTGAATGCTTATCTATCTTTCGTACTAGTATTTTATATAACGGCCCCTCAACCTTATATTAACTGGTGGACCTACACATGAGTAAGGAGGAGTAGCTACACCTCTCGTTGCCGAAAAATCCTTTGGGGTGGCCGGAATTTGCCCATATGTTGTGCCCACCATGTCGATTAAATATCTGAAAGAGACTTTGTAATATTCAATTTGATTTCTGCTTCACATAAAATTGTTGTCTCCTAAAATTCTCTTAATGGTGTATCTCTATTTATTAAATATCCATGAGCTTTAATCCCCCTCCTTTCTTAGTTTCTCAACTTATAATTTAATTTTGTTTTATGCAGATGTCACGTTTGTTTATTCAAAGTTTCTCTCTTCCCTGTCGACAAATGTAGATGGGTTCATGGACTCCTTGCACTTGGATTTCT